TAAAATAAAATAAAATAAAATAAAATAAAATAAAATAAAATAAAATAAAATAAAATAAAATAAAATAAAATAAAATAAAATAAAATAAAATAAAATAAAATAAAATAAAATAAAATAAAATAAAATAAAATAAAATAAAATAAAATAAAATAAAATAAAATAAAATAAAATAAAATAAAGAATCAAATACTTTTTTATCAGAAAACTCTGCCTCTCTTCATAAGGCCTCCAATAATAATACCCAATTGTTTATTTTACCATTATTTTAAAACTAACGATTATTTTATTGAAAATTCGTTAAAAAAATTGGTGTTATTATTGGAAATTTTCTAAACAGGAGGAATTTTTCCGATCGAAAAATTTTGATTTTCAAGAATTTTATACCATATTCACGAAACGTGTTTTCCCCATATAAAATACATGGAAAACTTTGAGGTAGTTATAAATATCATTTTTTAACAAAAAAGTACTAGTATTCTTTTTTCCATTTAGGAAAATCCTTGGCGGTGAGAGCTTAACATTTTGAACTTCTATTTCCCGAATCTATTTTTGGACCACCATATTGCACACACATAACAAAGTGGTTCTTTCTAAATTTGAAAATTTCCGGCATTTTCCCGGTTTATTTTTGAATTGGAAAAAACGTTTCGTTACAAAATTTTTTCAAAAAAGAAAATAATGAATATTGAAGTTAAAAAAATAGTAAAAACAAAAGCGTGGGCAAATTTTGGGCTGCACGTGTTGCGATCTTAAACGACTCTGAAGTTTTCAGAAGGTGTTTTTTAAGATATCAATTCTAATTTTTTAAGTTTGTAAGTAAGTTTTTTAAGTATTTTTTTTTTTGTGCAAACAGTAAATTAATTTATTTTAAGCAATTTCAGTTAAATTTAAATAAATTTTTTATTTTTGGTCGATTTGACATGGATTGACCCAAAACATAACTATATGTAGATACATGCATATCGCAAACGCTCCTCAAAAGTGATACAACTCAAAATATAGCATTTTTGAAATTATGCACTGCAAATTTACACAGAGCTTTTATTTACCTTTCAGCAAAAAACTGGATCAAAATTTTTTAATAATTTGTTGAAAAAACTTAAGGTAGTAAAGTCTCTCTTGCCCATATGATTAGCATATGCTACAAAATAATTTCGCATTATCTGACGAACGTGTAATTTTGAGTTGTGTCACTTTTGAAGATCGTGTGCGATATGTATGTATGTGTAAAAATAATTTCGAAGCTCAAGAAAAAATATTAAAAATAAAAATAACTTCCCTGCAAACCATTTTTTTAGAGTATTCTGCATTGTAAAGAAATTTTAAAGAATTCGTTAAGATTTAATTCGATTTTTTGCCGAATTTTATAAAATGAAATAAATTACGCACACTTCCATTCTTTAACGAAATTTCGGAAGAAAATCTGTGAAGCAACGAAAATAATGGTGCTATGTGAAGAATATCTTTCAGAATTTTTCCAGAATTTTTCCAGAATTTTCTTTATTTTTCGTACAGAAATTTCTTTTGGAGTTCGTGCCAACCACTATATATTATTTTCTTTGAAAATTCGTAAAAAAAATCGTTACAGAAATGAGATACTCCTAACGATTTCCTTAAGAATTCGGGAACTTTGGTTTGCAGGGTTCTTCGAATTGCATACCATTCAAATAACCAGAACATTGCTTTCCTGCGTATGCTCATATGATAGTATTCATAAATGCATATCGTCGATGTTTTTGAAAAACCGCCTATCTGACGGCACTCAAATTTGACAAGAGAGCGAAAAAAAAAACAGATTTTCTTTGAAGGCATTGCTTTGAGAGCCTGTATTTTCTCTAGGTATTATTTTACAAATCTGTCGTTTTAATAACGATTTTATGCTGTTTATGCTTAAATCTCCATGTCTGGAGTTCAGGGTTACCAAATCTCATTTTCGCCACCACGACGATTTAGGCGGTTTTTCAACTGGTCGCTGTGTGGTTTTGCAAAACCATCGACGATATGTACATATGTGAATGTATAGACGGAAGTTGTTCGCTTGTAAATACATACATATGCAATCAATAGGAAAAACCCTTACCACCAGCTTGTGTGTGTATGAGGGACGTGGTAATTCTGTGGTAAGAAAACTGTCAACTCTCTGTGCTTTGTTCTCAATACTCACCGGAATTGCTTGGTAGACAAGTGTAGTTGCCGGAGTCACTGGGTACGACACGTGCGATTAGCAACTTGCTGGTTTTCGTTGGACGCTCTGTCAGCACGCTAATGCCACCACGTTGCGAGTAGTTAATTAGTTCGCCATCCTTGTACCAGTAAATGTAGGCAGGCGGTGATGGGGCCTGCTGGTCGATGCAGGTAAGATTAATGTCACTGCCGCTTTTGAATACTAACTCGGTATTTGCTAGTATTTTCGCTTTAGCCACTGGAAAAAAGTTAAAATATAGTGGAATGAGGGTAGAGAGCAGAAATATTATGAATAAAGTAGAATAAATGGAAAAAATATAGGACAACTTAGAGACTAGACTTTGAGAATTAATAGTTTGCATCGTTATTCCATTTCGACCAAAGGAGTCAGTGCATTTATAACCCCAAATATAGCCTAGCCAAGTTAGATCTTACGTGAATTTTAAATGAAAGAAAATCTAAAAAAAAGCTACAGAGAAAAAGCAAAAACCAGTTAAAGTTGAACTTTTAATCGTAGTCAAAGCACCCGCACTTGAAACGACAACTAGGAATTTATAATTTTCTCTCTCGTAAGACTTTCATTTGTATATATAGTTCGACTTTTATTTATAGGACGTTTGGCTCCACCCCGTGACTAACAGTAGAGCATGACGGTACTCAATAGGTAGTAATTATAACGGAAAGCTTTTACAATAAAGTATAGAGGATATCGTTTCAACTACCTATTTGCTTGCAAAATAATGGACCGATCTAAATAAACATAGGAACCAAACGAGGATTGTCAATCAATCAGGATTATTTACTAGGTAGCGTATTTACCCAAATTTTGTGGAAACAATTTTAAATTAGTTGCTTTGAAAAGCTTGTGAGTCAGCCGATCTGTATTGTTAAAATCAGAGAGTCATTTCTTTTATAAATTTTTGTTTTTACAATTTATTTGAATTAGCGAAACGATATTGAGCAAAACGTAACAGATATTTCATGTTGTAATATTTAGTGTTCCATGGCTAGATATGCGGTCGGTTCTTGATGGTATATAAATGTACCTATTCAAGTGCAGCTTATTCCAATGGTGTATAAAATTTGGTTAAGAATAATATCCTAATTAAACCTAACCTACCAGTTTGTTTAAATTCCCCTCATAAGAGTATAAGTATGTAGTTAACTCATTATTATTTTTTACTTGAGCTTACTTTTAAGAATTATTATTGCATCTCTTTAGAGGTTGCGATATATCGCTTGGTGGATATCCTTAGTGACATAGGACTACCTCTGGCAGTTCCACACACGATACTTCGCTGATAAATACGCTCGCGATATGCAGCAGTTTAATGCATCAGCTTCGCATACACAAACAGATTTATCCAAAGATTTTTTGCCCTTAAAAACTTAGAGCGATCATTCCACGCAATACTCTGAAAATGTACCGTCCCCTGCTTGTGATATAAAAAAAGGGAATCTGTTTTGGTGCAGCCATAATGAAACCGAAGACAACCACAAACTGTAAAAATATTTGGTTTGCCACTGCAGCGGGCGAAGAGTGGAAAAAGGTCAAGCAAAGTGTCATTTTCTATTTTCCATTGTCGCCTGCAAACGAAGCGTAGTCGAAATGGTGTAAACGCTTTTCTCCACAAATGCATCACCAAACTAACGCTCACTTTCACAATGCACTGAATCTTACGAATTCGCAAAAGGCGACACCCTACACAGAAGCGCATAACTAAATTTGACCGCAAGATTTAACCACAATGCAACTTGTGCAACCAAAAAAAAAAAAAATAAATAAATGTAAAAACACTATATATAAAAAGGGTGCTCGGTGTAATTTATCCTTATCTTTTGCCATTTCTCCCTCACTTGCTTAGATCCCCTTTGCACATTTTCAATTTTTATTTTTTGTATGTTTTGTTGAAGTCTTGTCCCTCTTATAATATGCGTTAGCAGTTTACACTTGTTCGACCATTTTTCCTTTCCAATAACTATCCACTGACATGGTGCTTTTCCATGTTCTTTTTTCCAGCATTACAGAAAAGTTATTCGATGCGGTCTCGCTCCAAACTGTGTCAGACGAAAAGGAACCATGAGCAGGAAAAATACTCCATTGATTCAAACACTTAGCTACACATACATTCATATAGCATGTTAGAGTGTGTGTACATATATGCACACATTGGTCGATTGCAGTTACATCAGCGACACTGCAAAAATAGGAAGCTACACAATTACAATAGCGTTCAATGGCAATTTACTAAGGGTGCAGACTAAATAGTTAGCAGCGAAAGCAAAAGGGAGCATCAAAAGCAAAACGGGAAATTTGGCTCAATTCGCCTGCCAATGCAAGCCAAAGCGGTTGTATGAGCAGAAGATCTTATTTAGATAAGGCAACAATAAATTTGTGGGCGAAATACTATCTATCTGTTTTCGCATGAGTTAAAGGCTCCTTAGTTTGAAATTTAAAATAGCACTGGAATTTAATAGTTAAATATCTATTATAATACATAAATATTTTCTTATAAAGAGATTAATTTCAAATAATATCTAGTATATATTTGTAAATAAACAAGCTTAAACTTGTGACAATTTATAACCTTTGTTTAGCGTATATTGTTCTTTAAATGTTTCCCCCCTCCTTGGCACTGAATTTTCAAAGGGATGCGGATTTTTCCAAAAATTAAGTTGGAAAATAAAAAATATAATATTTTGCTATAGTTACTTACACATTTTATTACTGAATACATGTAGGTTTTAATTAATAAAACACGTATTTTTGGTGGTTTATAGAAT